ATATAGCGTCTCCTCTCTCATTCCAAAACGATGAGGACACACTGCAAGGTATCCAACGCTGAGCCACGAAATCAGTTGGGGACTCAAATTCATGTATTATGAAGAACGCCTCTAATCACTGTACCATTGCACATTAGAGTACAGGCTTCTTAGAGGTGACATTCTAATGACATACAGTATTTCAAACACTTCTTAGCATCCCTTCAAACACTTACTTAAGCTCCGTCGCAACATAAAACTCAGTAGTAATACCCTGAAGCTAGAGACGTACAACAGTAGAACGGACCATAGGCACACCTACTCCTCAAGAGAAATCAAGCGTTGGAACTTGCTGTTGACTGAGCTAGTTCAAGCTACTTCCAAGGAGTCCTTCAAGAGAAAACTTCACATATTCTTAAGTACCAAACACACTATCCTATTATAATTTACCAACTTTTATCTCTTTTTTCTCTTTTATTGTTAATATACCTAGGTTCTTACCTGAAAGCTTTGGTGATCCACTGCTAAGAAACACGAGAGACTGTGAAGCGAAAGATCCTTCTATTCCGTCCAGAATCTTGAATCTTGGATATCTTCTCAGTTATCGGGCCAGGAGCTAGAAGTACCTGGGATGTCTTTGCTTTGCAACGACAGAAAAACAGGAATTGGGGGTGGAGTGGCTTTATACATACGATCTTGCTTGGAGGCAAACCAAGTTCACAACCTCGAGTTTAACAATCTTGTGGAATCCATATGGTGCTCTGTAAGATTGTCTACTACTTCAAGGTGCCTACTCGGAGTCATATATAGGAAGCCCACTGCTGACATCGAGTATGACAGTCGTATACTGGAAGGACTAGCCCGCTTTATGCGTCTTGGTCTCACTCATATTTTGATTCTAGGGGACTTCAATCTCCCTAGAGTCAAGTTCATGGAACATACGTATATTGGGGGTGAAAACTCAACTGAAACTCGGTTCTTCAACCTCGTTGAGTATTTGGGATTATACAAAAATGTAAGGTCGACAACTCGTTGGAGAAACAGTCAGACACCGTCGCGCTTAGACTGTGTATTTGCAAACGAAGAATTTCTAATTGACAGCCTCTCAATCCTGACTCCCCTGGGAAAAAGCGATCACGTCGTTATAGCTTTCAGTTTTGTCTGCAAAACCGAACTAAGATACCCCACCAACAACATGCGCTGGAATTTCAAAGGGTTGAATGTGTCAGCTCTACAGGACTATCTACAATAGGTGGACTAGGATGTTCACCCTCTACTTGATGTGGATACTCATTGGGACTTCTTACTGCACACGTTCTTATGTGCTACAAAGAAGTCAGTTCCTCAAACAGTCCCCAAAATCTACAAGCAACCTACAATCGTCAAGAACCGCACACTTCGCTTGCTATGCAGCTAAAAGCACTGTTGGGCAGAATACAAACGAACTGACAACAACGGCGCGTACAGGCAACACAAACATATAAAGAACACATGCACGAAGGCTATAAGAGGAGACAGACTTCTGTACCAGATAAAGCTTATGGATAAATTAGTCTCTAATCAGAAAAGCTTATTCCGTTATGCAGCCTCTCTTCATCAAGCCAAAGCTGGAGTTTCCCAACTGCTAGGTCTTAACGGCCCGACCAATAACGACGGCGAATCCGCTAACCTTTTGGCTGAACAATACTCTCGGACATTTCAACCAAGCCAAATAAACTATATTGATGACAGCTTCATCCGCAACTGCACAAGACTTTCCGCAGTGAGCCTGAGCGCTGATTTGGTGTTCCAGAAACTGCAGCAACTAAGAAAAAACAGTTCTCCTGGCCCAGATATAGCCCATTCTGCTATACTGAGGGGAGCAGCCTCAATCCTGGCAATACCGCTTAGCGTGATGTTCTCACACTCGCTAAGCCGAGGCAAACTGACGGAAAATTGGAAGCTGGCTCACATCACACCAATTTTCAAAGGAGGTCGACGCAGCGAACCTTCAAGTTACTGACCGGTGGCTCTTCTCTTCATAGCCTCAAAAATCATGGAGTCCCTGACATGCGATGGTATATATGACTATTTGCTGTCCTTAAATTACTTCTCACCCCAACAGCATGGTTTCAGGAAGGGTCACTCTTGTATAATGAACCTGCTGACTGCGGTGGACAGATGGACAAGCATCCTCAATCTCAAGGGGAAGGTTGATATCATCTGCCTTGATTTCTTAAAAGCTTTTGATAGGGTCAACCGTACATGTCTTATCAATAAGCTCAAACGATTGTGTATCAGACCACCTCTGATTGGTTGGCTGACTTCCTATCTGAAAAACTGACATTTTAAAGTTAGAGTCAACTTCGTTTTATCTCAGACTATGGAATGTCCTAGCGGGGTCCCTCAGGGCTCAGTACTAGGACCTCTTCTCTCCTTGATTTACATAAATGATTTTCCTCAACAGGCAACGTCAGACTTATTACTTTTTGTCGATGACGTGAAACTTTGCAAAAAGGTACGCAACCAAGACCACATGCAGGCACTTCAGGAGGATCTGACTCGACTCCAAAGCTGGGAAGACGATAACGGACTTACCTTTAACACTTCAAAGTGTAAAGTCGTCCATCTGCGACATGTCGCAGACTACAGTTATAACTTAGGAAACTCCTCTCTAGTATTATCCCAAGTCGAAAAAGATTTAGGAGTCCTGGTGCCCTACGGTTTAAAGTTTTACGCTGTGACAAAAATGCCTTTCGAGAAAACCTTACACAGGTAACATTGAAGCTCATTTTTGGCCATTTTGATGGAAGAACTTTCCACATAATCTTCGATAGTTTTATCCGTCCCCATTTAGAGTACGGAAACATAGTTTTTGCTCCCTCACTCCAAAAGGATATGGACAATCTGGAGCGTGTCCAACGGCTAGTCACGAAATTAGTTGGAGGACTCGAATTTCAACCTTATGAAGAGCGCCTCCAATCACTTAACCTTTTACCTATTAGAGTATAGGCGTCTTAAAGGTGACCTGCCGATGGCTTGCAGTGTCCTTAACACTTCTGGACATCCGTTTAGACACCTATTTAAGCTAAGTTCCAACACTAACCTAAGAGGTAACACTCAAAAACTGGAGACACAACATAGCAGAACGGACTGTAGACACAACTTCTACTCCTCAAGAGTTGTCAAATGCTGGAATTCGCTGCCCAGTGAGCTAGTCCAAGCAACTTCCCAGGAGTCCTTTAAGAGGCAACTTGGTTTATTCTTAAGGATTAAGGATAGCATAATACTATGATTTACCAATTTCTTTTTCCTCTTTTATTGTTAACATACCTAGGTTCCTGCCTGGAGGTATTGGTGATCTCCTGCTACTAGACACGGAAGCCTGTCAAGCGAAAGCTTCTTCTGTCCCGTCCACAACCATTTTAACCATTTGTACCGTTTAGAACAATTTAAACCATTGGAAACTGATTTCGTTCGCCTCAGCGCGGAGAATTGATTCAATTGATTTTGCTTTAAGTAGGTTTCTTATTGATCTTTGTCGTGTAGTGATTCTTGTTTATGGGTTGTTTACATGCTGTTACTGGTCTAGTTTATCAACTGCATAACCTGATTTCTCATATATGGTATACATCTTGGTAGATGTACATTTACCGATTTCGATGAGAAAAATGACTCTTAGATCAGATACACACGTGTGTATCTGATCTAAGAGTCATTTTTCTCATCGGAATACGCATGCGAATAAGTAGGATTAGGTGCTAAAGTGTAAAGCTACGAGTTTGCTAAATTCGCTCGGCTACAGCCCCATTGGTCTGCTATACATATCAACCAGAAATATGGGACTACATCATACTGAAACTCGTTGTTACAACAACAGAGTAGCTGGTCTAAACGTTTAGGTTTAGCCGGACTTATTTTAGTGCAAGCAATCGTATTGTCTTTTTGGTCTCGTTATTCTAGCTTGATAGGCAGGACTAATCGCCTGTAAAGTGTGGAGGCAACTGCATTAGAAGCACGGGTTTGCGCAGTTTGTGTACGGCTTGTTTGAGCCCGCCCTTGATTGTTAGTACCACATTCTTGCTTACTGGGTTGAGGGTTTTGGAACCTTTGTTGCTGTGCTTTGTCCTATGGAATCCTTCAAATTAGGGCTTGGTGCTTTTGTGCCCCCAAACGCCCTGGTATGGCCGAGAGCGGGGTGGGTTCGCCCTCCCTCTCGAAATACTCACACGGCCGCGCGTATACAGCCTCTGCCAGGGACGTCCTACTCACTGCCTTCTCGTGGCGGGGGTGTTGTTTACGAAAATGAGAGGACGAAAAGCGAATGTCCGGCGCTTTAACCGGATTCCAAACCAATGGTGCACATGGGTACCAGTATCCTGCGGAAACAAATGGCGTATGAGCCAATTTTCGGTCACCGGCTACTATGGGACTGCATCTCCTTACGATGCTCCACTGCCTTGTGGGTTAGACCTTTAGGTCAAGGGCTCGGGGTGTGGCCCCCTAAGATAACCACCTGCTTTGGTCTGGACACCCGGGCAGTATCGCAGCCCACACGCAATTTATGAACTGAAATTGTGTTGCGCATATATATTTGGCGCACTCCTGTACCAATATATATGTGTTCAAATAAAATAATATAAAAATGATGCTTTTGTGCTATGTCATAGCTTTAGAAACTACCTAGATTTAGAAAAACCAGTGCTTTTTATTGTTAGAGATATTACTTCTTTCAAAGCGTAGTTTTGCCTAATGCTAATCCGTAGGTCACCGAGTCTGATCAATGGGTGATTTGATGTTGTAGATATTTATATCTACGTTTATTTATATTATCTATTCATACCTTAATTCATGTTCCTATGCACTTTGTAGTGTTAGTTGGTATTTTCCAATTGTCGTGTCATTCATTTATAAGTGCTTCCATGATCTTCCTGATATCCTCACTGTCCATGTACATAACATGATATGATCAAAAGATAAATTATCACCCTTAGTCCTTTGCTTATATTCGTCTGTCTGTACAATACATCAGCTATTGTTGCCTATTATTAGTAGTCTGTTTTTATCTTATAGTTCTGGGCTTTCATTTACCTTGTCTTCAACAAATATGTTTGTAGGATTTTCAGTCAGTAGTGGTAATTACGAAAAGTTACGCTCAATACAGGAAGGATAAAAGTTGGGCACATCTGCGTCCTTGTGACCAATTACGGACCATGTGTCCAATTTCTGGTCTCTTAACCCCAACTATTTAGCTTTCATTTACGAACACGATTCTGTTCAGTAGTCACTAAATTTGTAAACGGATGCCATATTTTGGTTTGGCCCTTTTAGTTTTCTTCTTACTTATTTCTAGTTCAGCCACCATAGCTTGTAAAGTTCAGTGTCTTAGCCACTTCGATCGATGCAGATTAATGACCTCAACAATCAATTTATCATCTTTCCGTGATATCTTGCCTCTGACCTCATCATTTCTAGTGAGGTTATAATCAATGGACGACCTTTGAGCATTTCTGAACTGACCTGGAATGTGTCTACCTACTTGCTAGGGCTAAGTGAGTGTTATATATTAGTGCCAAAAATTAGGATCTGCGGGTAAACGTTAAGGTTAGGAATTTCAGTTAGTTTTCATCATGCTTTTTGCTAAAATGCTATTTAACCATATGGATGAGTTTTGCACCAAAATTCAGGATGTGCTATCTTGGATTTCTTTCGTTCGTCCATAATTTATAATCTGGTTGCTCACTCCGTTGTTTCATCAAGCCCTAGCAATCCCTAAAGGATATCTCTGATTAAAATGTTTAGCTTACGCGTATCTTCTCTTTTGATAGATCATGCTTACAACCATAGGGTAATACGGAATCAAGATTACTTTCTGTTTTTTATACTTTCCTATTACATTAGGACTTCTTAAAGTAATTGTTATTTTAACAAAAGCAAATTTCTGTGAAATTCAGTTCGTGTGTAAAACCATGCTAGAATCTCTGCCGCTTGAGAATAGCTATCCTAGTAACGTCAAGCTTAAATACAAAAAGCTATCCTATCAAGCGACAACTCCTACTCGTGGATCTCTCTTGGCTGCTGGTTACGATCTTTATGCTGCTCATGAAGCTACCATACCTCCTGGGGGTCGTGAATTAATTAAAACTGACATACAGGTGATCTATATAAAAATTGCTTCAGTAATCATTTTGTTATGGAAAATTTGTTATAGATAAGTATGGTCACTAAAACTAAATTTGCCAATGTACAGATTCTGGTTTCATACTCAGGCTCAAACTGAGTTTATGATCACAATCTCCTCCACCTTCGTATATGTATTCAATAAGCACCCGTTCATATGCTAGTCTTGACAACCTGTACTGCGTAGAGAAAACTGTCTACTCAAGATCCGTAATGTGGCTTGAAGTCACTCAGTGTAAAGTTTTCAGTAGCTTAGAATATAGAAGTTCGTACTCAATAGAAAATTTGGCACTAAAATTTCTATTTGTTGAACTTACACGTTTAAAGCATCAAAAAGTATAGTTATTGCTATCTCACTACCTTCCCATTCGGGTTTTTACTAATCACATTCTCTTTTCGTCTTCCAAATTTCGTAAACACCCCCACCACGAGAAGGCAGTGAGTAGGACTTCCCTGGCAGTGGTTGTATGCACGTGGCCATTTGAGAGCATTTCGAGATGGAGGACTCTCTCCACCCTCGGCCTTACCAGGGTGTTTGGGGACCTGTATGTACCAACTATGCTTTGAAAGATAATGTTATATATTACCCCAACGTCTAGTTCTTAGAATAGTAAAACTTTAATCGAGTTAGAAATTACAAATTCTGATCGGAAAGTAAGAATATATGTTAGCAATTTGATTACTATCTATCCTGCTTCAATGTCTTTTGAGGATGACAAGTCAATATTAGTAAAAACATAGTTTTAAAGTATATCTCCAAGTAGATCTTATCCACCAAGATACAAAATCACAAATCAGGACAAATTCCTCAAATTTTTACAACAGTTTACCCCATACTAACAACATACTTTACCATATTATACGTACATTCGACGTTCTTGAACATCATTGCTTTGCTGCTGAATCAAATTTATACTGCTTGTGCAGGTTCTGGCTCCGTGTATGACTAAATATATATACTGCATCATAGACGTTCTACACGCTGTTTACTGACAATCTAAATGTCTCAATAAATTTTATCTTTCATTTTCGTGGTCGTCTGTTGTTAAATAGATTGAATTGCCAGAAGGTTGTTATGGTCGTGTCGCTCCACGAAGCGGATTAGCCTTAAAACATGGGATTGATGTTGGTGCTGGCGTCATTGACCGAGACTATAGGGGAAATCTTGGCGTAGTACTTTTTAACTTTGGAGAACAAAATTTTGAAGTAAGTTCATCGTTGTTCATCATTTTCACTGCTGCAACTTGTTGCATAACTACACTTCGATGTGATTTATCAGAGACGTACTATAACAAAACATGCCTTTTTTTAGTTACGTGGACTTGTTTCCCCGTTTTTATTAGGCCATAATGTTTTATTCATTATCTTAACTGACTCGCCTATGGCATCAAAACATGGTCACATTTGGAAAATATCCAAAAACTGTCCCATACATGGGACATTAGTCTGACCGTTTGTTATGTTATGCTATGTATATTTTTTATTTACATCCCATTTCTAATAATGTATCTTAATATGTCAAGTGACCTAATTCACAGTGCCTGATTCTTCAGGATAGTATCAATGCCGTTTTTTCTCATAGTCACGAACATATTGGCCATGGTTTTTGATGTGTGGGCGAGTAAAATAGCGATTGGTTACTTACTTAGTCTGACAGGTATTAGATGTGTTATCTATTTTCCAATCCCTTGTTATTGTCGAATGTTGACGTTGAATCATACGCACGTCCTAGTCAAGCCGGTCACGTGTTCTTGATCCGAGTTGTGTTGATATCCTGTAGAATAGACTGGCAAGGTATCTAGTGCAGATATTCGTTCAAGGCAAATTAGTGTCCTATTGGTGTAGCCTTACCAGATGGTTTGTGACTGCAAATTCTCATCAGCAACTGTGATGGGAATCTAACTACTATTTTATTCACTGACGGCCGAAAAGCATGACTAACAAACAACCTTTTGTGGTTAGTACGTTCACTTGGTAGGATACATTTTTGAGGAAATGGCTATACTGCAATCTACATATTTGCCGTGGTATATAACATCTCATGTATTTAAAAGTGGGTAAGATTTATGGGAAATCTGGTTTTTCGCGTTAATAGGAAAATACGTACTGTATAAAAGTACTCTGTGGCAATTAGGCTAGCCTTACACTAAATTATTGGGTATTGGTATGAGCTGTAATTTCGGCATCATACATAACTACTTTCGTTACTGCTGGTTAACTTTATCAGTCTAAAATTCAGTATTTTGTTCCTTCGTAATGTCATTCGACGAAAAACACGTCATTTTAATTTATGAGTGTTTCTTTATACTCAGATTCAGAACGATCGTGCCTGGTATTCACAAGCTTACTAAATAATTTTACTGTATTCATTTCAGATAAAAAAAGGTGACCGTGTAGCACAACTGATTTGTGAACGTATTTTCTGTCCTGAATTAATGGAATGTGAATCGTTGGCGGAAACAGATCGTGGTTCAAATGGTTATGGCTCAACAGGAGTGTAGAGCCTAATAATTTTATCAGAATCAAAATATTTTTTACAATAAATATATAAGAAATATAACCCATTTTTTATGCCTGCAAATAACTTTTTAAAACATTAACAGACTATCCAATATTGAGTTGAGTTGGCGACTTTTGTTACTTTTTAAACGTGAACTGGTCGTCCCGCCTATGTTCGCAAAAGTACATACTTCTCTCATTTAGGTTTAAGAAATGATACTGATCAATTTTTGATTGATTGTTTGTTGATACTTGAGTTTTGTACACACGTTTCTCTTCCGAATTATTAAAGACGATCTTGTAGCACGTAATAATCATGAGGCGTAGCGGCAAGTTGGAAAAATGTTAACTCCATTTTTTAATCAGTTATGAACCTGAGTGACGAGCATACGAATCCATTCTATTGATAGCATTGGTTTGTCTTTGAGATTCTTTTAACATAACTTAAGTACATGAATCATTCACTCCGAATAATCCATAAGAATTGTTGACAAAGCATCTTTGTTAATTCTGTGCAGTGGAAAAAACAGAATTACGAAATAATGTTGATCTGTTTAGAGTGCCACGTGTTGAAAGTCAATTTCCCATCGCATGAACAATCACTTAGACCTGAAATAGTTAATTACAACCTCATTTAGTCATGCAAAAACCAAATTCATGCATTTGAGTATTGTATAAACTCTCATGCTTTCAGTAGTTTTCTCAACTTATCAGGTTTTAGATGCTGAAGTATTCTTAAGACGGTACCTTTCTCAATAACTACAAAGTCTATCACCAAGCCGCCACAATCACAATTAATCGTCGGTCGTTCCTCATTGCTGATAGGAAACACTACTGAAATATTCTGATAAGTCTTCAGTTTTTTCGGTATTATTTCTTGCCAGTATTAACGGATCAATTGTTTTTCATACGACTGTCTACTCTTATTAACGCTTTACAAGCATTCCTAGTCTTACAATAACTGGAACTGTACTGTTCTAAGCCAGTAGAGATGAATATATTCTAATACTTTTTCCTACGTCTAAGAAGTTTCTTGACTTATTAAGTTATCCATGGTGGGCAGTTATTCGGTCTGCGTGGTACCAGGCATGGTATAAACGGGGACGTAACTGAACTAAACTTGACTTTAAATATAGACCATGCTTCAACTGATGAGCTGGTATCTACTGACCAATCTGTCTTAGCAGCAGCGCACTCTTGAATGACATGTTAGCTCCCCATACATTTGGGCGAGGCTCAAACTGACCGTATGTCATGTCACTAGCTGTAAACGTCAATGACAAGACAGCGTGATAGCTACTCGTTAACGGTGGAAGAAAGTTTAGGCTGGCAATATCCTCGGTCGCATGAGCGATTACTAAGGCCAACAAAGAAAAACCTTGGTTTGCACAAAAACGTATGGGTTTGAATACATACTGTGCCAATGCACGCTCCATTACCGTTATCAGAAACCTCCTAACAAATGAGTTTTTAGATCCTAACGTGGCCATCTCAGTCCAACTAATACCAAGCATGTTATTTGCGTTCCACAGCTTAACGCGCTCTAAAATAAAGTCATCAGCTAAGCAGATTGGGTCGCGAAGTGTACTCCGTAGTTGTTGCTGTAGTTACGTGATCGTATCATTAACCAACCTTAACAGTTGCGACAATTATTTGGCGTGAGTTCACTGTATGTCGACTCCTGTTAACTATTTACCGTGGTAATAGAAATCCCATTCGCATTTATGCATGCGTTCACGGTTGGAGGGCGTGGTGTATCGTCGACGAATCTAGATTTCCAGCTGCTGAAAAACAGCTAAGTCGGAAGTAATGTCGCGGGCTCTTTAGTCAGGTACTCAAACGGGAGACCCTGTGTTACCATGTCGGCTCAGCAATGTAACTACACCACAGCAAACGGCGACCATACAAATGGGACCACCAGACAAACATGGGTCGACCATCCCTTACGCGCAATTGCCCGTGACTACTAAACATTGTGTCCACAACAGCAACTATGCGGGGGGTACGTCTAGCATGTGATTAGGGTGGTAAGTTATTTGCTGCAAGCTTATTTGATTTGCCCGTGGATGGTACAATTACTCCTACGACGAGATAGAATAAGTGAACATAAACCTAGTAAGGTACATACACTCTTCAACCTTTCTACTGATGTGCATTTCTTCACATTAGGTTGAGGATGTGCCCGATTATATGGTTTAGATATCTTTACGTCACATTTCAACATGTGAACTGAGTTTGACATTCTGAAGCATTCGGATGAGACGCAAGATGGGTTTGAAGATAATGACGGAACTTGACAAAACGAAGGATGTTGCCTGTATTAGACAGAATGTAAACTTGTCACAATTGCTGTGCAGTGGATTTCGGACTCATGGATTGGAATGACCTCCGACCGTTCCCCCTCGCTGTTCAGTCGGATGTATTATTAACAATAACCCACTACTGTAACGCTGGTCTCACAGTGTAGTATTATTTAACTTTGGGCACTAAGTATAGTTATCCCACTAATTATGAAGTAGATTTAGGACTTTTGCTAGTAAACAAAATTTATTGAGTGGTTGCAATGAGTAGCAAAAAAACAGGATTGAGTTATAAAATATCGATTAATTCCACATCAAATTTAAGTGTAGCATTTGGAGGGATAACTTTGTCGACACCCTTGGAACCATATGCGTAATCTGGCGTACAAGTTAGGTAGGCACGCTCGCCTACACTCATTTGAATAATACCTTCATCCCAACCTCGAATTACCTAGAAGGATGGGATTCAAAAACAGCAATTGTATTTACTTTCCCCGTCCCAATTACAAATTCGAATGGTTTATTTCTATCACGGGAGCTGTCAAACTTTTTTCCATCCATGAGGGTACCTGTGTAGTGAACAACGACTCTTTGACCTTTCTTCGGAATTCGTTTCCCATTGCCTGGCTTGTAGGTTTCAACAGTTACGCCCATGCCAATGACTGTTAGCGCACAATGGTGAGTGACCTCGTCGTGAAGGTCATCGAATGGCAAGTTCAAGCGTCTCAACAACAGTTTTTGCTATAAAACCTGATATTTTCTGGTTGTTGCGAATTTATTTCGCAAATCGACTTGTGTTTGTGTATATTTAAGCTGATAATCGACATTTTCACTTTTATTGTTGGTATGCATGTTGAACAATTGATAATATCCCGTTTCATTCATTTGCTAGCTTCTTTATGTGATTTATTCGAACTGAGGTTTAATTTCTGAGTAAAAGATACAGTTTCTAACCGTATCACGTGTTCATCTTCTGTTGCTGAGGATTCTTTTTCGCAATATTCTGTTATGTGTCAAATAATTATGGATTATCGTAACATACTCAGAGTATGAGCACATTAGGAAACCAATAAGCTGTCGACTTCCAGTGAACTTATTGCCTGAACAGTGTTAGACCACCATTGGCACGATAGAAGCATTTTACGATAAAACTGCAGTGCCAATTCAAAATATTCTGTTGTAGATGTTATACAAAAGTAGATCGTCTAGTTTCATTAATTTTATAATAATATCACTGGGAACGTTGTTAAATCATGAGACGCTTGTTGCGTCGTTTTAACTCCTAGTTTTCTCCTTTCCGAAGTAGTGATTTCGTTGGCTGTCCTGATTAAAGTTGCAGCTAGGGAAACTTTAGAGCCAGATGGCTGCACAGAGCCGAAATCTGTAAACAGAGTTGGATGTATCTGTTTTCAGCATACGGTCAATTAATTAGGTGTTTTTATGCAAGACAGTGGAGGTGAAATATATTTTTGGGCGATTAATAGCTTTTTACACATATATATAGATTTTAGGTCGTCCGTAACAAAGTCCACCAAGGCTCGTTAAATGTTCTGGGAATACTTGACAAATCCCGTTAAGGTCTCAGAAAACGGTTGTTGATCGTTCAGACCTGGTGTGGTATCATCGTCACTGAGGAGTTTTTCAGTCTGTCTCAAAGTAAACTGTACTATGTGGTAAAAGATTGACGACATATTGGTTTTTGCTGCTTATGGTTGGTAGTTTAGATGTGTTGTTTCTTATTCTATGGGCATAGTCGTGGATTACGACTTGAAAATGAAATTCAACTTACAATTTTGTAGAAAAATAGGTCCTTCATTTGTCAACGACCGCATAAACTTTCTAAGGCAATATGTCTACATCAACCTATTTAGTCAAGGATAGAATCCTATCCCAATGAACGATGTTTGAAGCTTTTCTTGATATTCCTCACTGATATCTCATCTGTAGTATTCATACTTGAGAAAATGCATAAACGATGTTCAAGGTAGGGTAATGTACATATTTAAAAAGTGTAAGCTTAGTCTCTTTGATCAAGAACCGTTAACTATGAAACCCGTCAGCATTCTTGATGTAAAAATGATACGTGAAGTATGTTCTTCTACACTTTTCGTACAATGAACCACTAGACCGGATGTCAAGTTGAATATCTGATCTCTACACTAATTTAAGCACCGTGATTATTATAGAGACACTTTCTAAAATGCGTGGTCTCATATTCGTTATGATTACGTGGTAGCTGGCGATTTTTACTACAGACAGACAGGTTGTCGCGCTGAAACTGAGAAATCCTTAACTTACAGCTCCGAACCTAGGCTATGTACTGTGATGAGTTTATCGGCATACATGTATGATCTTTTACAAATGACTGGTCACTATATGGTGACCACTGTCATATCTTTCTTGGTGCGCACTGAATTTTGCTGATCAAATTGCCGTGTGACAACCAGTTTAGATGACTCGACATCTTGTGCACTATATTGAAGCGTAGTGGATGGTTGTAGAACCATTTAATTCTATCTATTAAGATTCTGAACCAAGAAAGACATGAACCACATGACATCTATCGATACCCAGTGACCAATCATTTGTAAATGTACCCCACTCCCATCGGAGGTCAGTCACGACACAGATAGCTCAGTGGTGACTTCTCGGAGTGTGAAGCCCAGTGACATTGGAATAGAGCATCAGTTCCCTTACTACTACTAGTACACCTTAATGACGAGTGTCTGATAGCACGAAACCCAGGTCTAAGGTTTTTTGTCGACTACCACCAACCATCGCCTTAAAGGTATAATTTCCCCAATTTCACAGTTTTTGGTGGAGT